AAAGTCGATACGAGTCAAACATGTCCAAGTCATTTATTTATTAGCAGGGTGGTTAAATGACTACTTCTGCGTTGTCGTGGCTAGTGTTACTTATCCATTGTTAATGTAATTATCTTTAACGGAGAGCGCTGACAAACGTCTACGCACTAACAGATACATAATACTGCTAGCATGGCGATTTCATTGATATTTTATAGTGTGGAGGTACGTCTATAGTGCCAACATATGCTCTAACCTGGCTCCGTTCTGAACTTCATGTGTCAATTAATAACTCTAGTTGTCGTTTTCATCACCATTACACCTGTGGTTGACCAGTTGCTAAACTGATGTAATTTGATCACTCGGACTCAATGCCGATCTATAAATATAGGCAACGGCCATGTATTACGAAAACCACTATACAGAACCAAGTAAGCATAATAATTGGCTGCGTAAAAGAGGAGGCGTCAATGTAACCACCGAAGCGTGCGCACGAAGGCCTTTAGTCTCCATGCTCTACTGAGTACCAATCGAACTTTATTATTGCAAGTACGATTTAAATTCTGTGGTTACCACTAGTCAATTATACTTTTAGAATATCCACAAATATGTAATAACTTGTAGTAAAATCCTAAAAGGTTATAAAAGAAGACTCTGAAACTTTACATTTAGCATTTAGCTTAGTAATGGCCAATATAATTATTTCTAAAATAATTACATAAATCAGGCCATTAACACGAAGATTTGGGTAAAGTTCAACCTATGACCATGATCAATGTAACGAGGTTAAAATGTAAGATAGTTAACGGTACAAACCCCCCACAATAATAGTGATGACAGTAAAGAGTTTTAACAGGACTAGAAAAAGGACAGTAGCATTTTATGTTGTCAAATCTCTATAGATTGAAGGCACAGCTAAATAGAACCAGAGAAACAATACGACCAATTAATGACGTTCGCAACAACTAAAATAACATAAACTATAGTTTTTCTTTTTTTGTTGACTGGGTGGAAAATCTCTTCGGATCTCCTGCTCCTTGGGAACTTTAGAAGCCAGGTGTATGTGGTGATTCCACTAAAAACCATCCCGATGGGCAGCCTCGGGCGTCCTACTCTGGGAGGACACGGACCATGTAATTTCAGGTCCACCCTGAGACGACACCATGCCTAATCAGGCCCTATCCCAGAGGAAATGACATCCCCCCTTCAATCGAGATTGCATCTTACTGCGATTGGGCCACCATACTATCCCCTACCGCAGCAATTAATCTGGCACCAGAGGTCCCCACTCTCTGATGGCCCGCGGCCCCGTCTACGTCTGGTATAGCCGCCGACGTCCTCTACGCTCAGGATCGGCCCTCTCCCGATCCCACCCAGCAGTCTCTTACTCGAGCATTAACCTATAAAGTATAGAACATGATTTCTTTTAAAAACCGATATTTAAATCTACTTATTTGATGATTTAATGAATGGAGACCAGGCTTTTTTTTTTTTTTTTTTTTAACGTGTGGAAATCCCCTCGGACCGTCACCCCACCGGGGTTTGCGGCGGGGTGGTTTGTCGGACTCGGACCGACTAAAACCACGCGGTGTGCCACTCTGCGCCTGTAACAGGAGGGATCCGGGAACAGCTGTTATTAAGACATCCGGACCCCTCCTAGAGCCAGCCCGCTCAAAATTTTCCTCTCTTTTACGCGACGTCCGGCACACGCGGACGCCGCCCCCTCGCGGCTGGCCAAACTAATGCAGGTGGAGGGGAAACCCACCCCGTCCACCCGCGGCCACACTCAGGGCGGCATGAGGCGGTGATAGGCGGATCGGGTCCGAGTGGAGGTCGTCCTCCCGGGCCTTCTCCGCCGCCTCCTTCTGCGAGATTACTTCCTCGCAGAAGGTTGCGACCGCGGTAAAACAACTGTCGCTACCGGCCATGGAGCGTACTACGGCCGGTAGCGAGAGATCCACTCCAAAGACTGCAGTGAGGGCCCGGCGCTGCGCCGCCCATGCGAGGCAGGCCGCCAGCGTATGCTGGGCCGAGTCCTGACTGCAGTCGCAGTGGTGGCAGGCGGGACTCAGTTCCCTCCTAGCGACCGAGTGCAGGTACTTTCCGAAGCAACCGTGCCCGGAAAGCACCTGCGTCAGCCGGAAGGAAAGGGTCCCGTGCTGCCGCCCTGCCCACTCGGCGATGACCGGCTGGAGAGCCTCCACGGCGGCGAAGCCAGCGCGTGGAGTCTCCAGCCGGTACGACCAACGAGCCATCGTGGCTCGGCGAGCGGCTTCGCGCCACTCGCGCACATCCTCGGGCGGCTACGTCAACCTCTCTGATATTCAGGCGCTGAATCCAGTACCTACTCATCCTTTTTCTATTGCTTACTGATAAAAGGTATGCAACGAAGTAATCAAAAATCGAAATGCACGCGTTGTGTGTGTCGCGTGAGCTTTTCAAACATACACCTCAACACACCAACTCAAACACTCAAACTCAGACTCAAACAACACCCTGACTCAGGACAACAATGTGTAAAGACGGGGTCGAGAACACCCTACCCTCATATGTGGGAGGAGAAGAAATACAACTCTAGTTGGTGTAAGTGATTCCGAACCTACGAAAGTGATACTACTCGTAGTACTATCCATACTTAATGTTTCACCTTAGTATGTTATTTGTATATTTGCTAACCGTAAGTACCGAAGGCAATAAAATCTATTTACTCGAGTATTGTCACATCCTTAAAATGAGATTCTGTGGTTTTATGTAATAGAGGTTGTCAATGTCAAAAATAGTAAATATGACACTAGTTCTCTAATTCAAAAAGTGTTGCACTAAATTTTAATGGAACGATTTAACACAATCGGTTGCTTTTATCTACCACCTTAATAAACCTTGAACGGAAGAAAGTGCGGAACATGAGAACCGAAAAAACGCTACTATTTAAAATGAAGACAAATTCACTTTTGTTTTTATTTTAAAGCATTTACATTTTTTTGGGATACAATTGATTTTCATTTTACATGACACTAGTCAGATTCAAACTAAGCACAGTTTTGTACCGTTAGTAGGTATAATGTATCAAAGAAGATATATATAAGAAATCCTTTTTCCCCTTTATTATATATAAAACAAAAGATGGAGCAGCTTTCCTTTTTTTTTTTGAAACGGTGTGGAAAATCCTTTCGGATCTCCAGCTCCTTGGGGACATAGGAGCCAGAAGCATGTGGTGTTTCTACTAAAACCACCCCGACGGCTGACCTTATTTGCCCCACTATATAGAGAACCTGGACCTGTGATTACAGGTCCAGGTCAGGATCGACGCCGCACTTAACTAGGCCCTAATCCAGAGGCTTCCGCCTGCACAGCCTCAGATCAACGATTTTTTCGAGCCGGGGTAGAAGCTTAATCATAGCGCCCCCTCTCTCCAGCGTTTAAAATAAATTAATTAAAAAATTCACAAATATATATAAAGGTTGGCATTCATGATTGGGACATAACAGTAATATATTGGTTCTTATAAGAACTCTTTAATAAATTTGCACTCTTTAATTTCTTTCACTCAATAACTTTTTCAACGTGCGCTGCATGCTAGGCGATTTGTTGAGCAAGTTTTTTTTAAACCGTATTATATTAGGATTTTGGTTACGTGAGAGATTTTTTTGGAACCTTTAAATAAACTATACGTAGATGCATAAAAGTAAAATTTTTAATCAATATAAAAGTCCACACATGAATAATTGAAAGGAATTGTGGTCGAAATTCGACTATCAGACGAGCTCCAGTATCAGTATAAATCAACTTCTTTCAAAATACGGTGGTGTAAAACTAGTATATTATTAGCTGAGTAAACAGGCCACTATTGTTTATTTTTCTTTCGTTACTGTGTTAACATGGAAGCGAACAGTATGTGATGATTACTCTTGTCTTGTCTATTTAATTCGACATTCAAGGTGAGTTCTTTGTACAGTGTAAAATACAGTCTATTATTTTAAACTAGGAATTCTTCCTCGATCTATATATTTTTACGTGAAGAATTCTTTGTACAAATAAAAAAAATTAGCAAAGCCGTATAATTTATAATATTATTTTGCTGTGTGTTTACACCCTAAAAAGGGTCAATTATTTAATGTTAAAAGACTGTTGATGTAAATGTTACAATAATTTCTTGAAAATACAAGTAGCATTAGGAAAAGTTCTCGAGAAATTTTATGCCACGTGGTGTAGTTTCAACAGCATAAGTGGCTCCTTGTGGCATGAAAATCTTTTTGCAGGAAACAGGATCAAGGGCCACACGGGTGGTGGTGGTGTTGATGGCTAAACTTCAAAGTGTTTTATAGTGTTTTTCTTAATAAAATACCTAAATATGAATAAATAAAGGCACAAAACTCAAAGGACAACTTTGAATTTATAAGGGTGACATGCAAATAAATTATAGAGCATTCATGTTTATATCAATGTATGTTTTCCTGTTATGCATATAGATTCATTGAATTGTTGTTTACTTTGTGTGGTCAATACGAGAAACAATAGAGAACCGGTGGGCAGAATGTGTGCCTATGTTGTCCTCATACATCATGCCTAGTTTCTCTGATAACAACGTCACCCAAAAAACGACACAGATTACACCGACAGCGAATGATTTAATTGGAACAAGGTGATAATTTACTGACTAGTGTCTAATAACTTATTTGTTATCAATACGAATGGACATTGGATCTTCTCAGAATTTGTTTGCCAACTTGCACACGTTACGTGTATGTTCTACATGTTTTACCTCCTGTAGAGTAAAATTTCAATATGTTTGTTGTCTTAATATAAAACACGTACCTACTTTTATATAAGTTCTGTCAACGTCGTTCTAGACGTTCGAATAATAACCGCACGTTGATATAACAGATATTAAATGCCGTTCAAGATATTTCTACACTCTTCACAAAAATGTTAACTGTATGAGTAACAGAAGTGAGTTTATTTAATAAATGATACTGATTAAAAGAGCCTGTTTTCTCGCTATAGGTAATATTAAATAAACTATGAACGAATATGTGGTTTACGGTGTTAAGTATGTTGGAATGAACATACGTAGCTCATCGCACGTCGTGCAGCAGTTGAGTACGCTGGGGCGGCGGCACCGGCAGGCTGTCGCCGACGGCGGCCAGCTCGCGGGGCTCACAACTCAGCCGCGAGGTGCGAGCGCAGATCGAAAGTTCGACGCGAGATCGAGCGCGCATATGTAAATATCGGCACATTTACAAGCGAAAGGGTTCACCAGAGCGGCGCACAAACGCAGCGTTGCGCGGTAACCAGTCCGGTGAGATTCCTACGGCGTCCGATAGAAAAATGTCGAATAAGCTTTGGGTCCATCACTCGGTACGGGTGTGATACGTAACGCGGCCGCCGCTCGACTGCCGCCCTCCTCTCTCCGCCACTGCTGGTATATTTATCGCTTAATTTTATTGAACTCGTGTGTATAACAATTATGAAGCAGGCAGGCGCTGGCGGAGGGCGAACGGCGCTACCGCGTCTGCGCGGCACGCTGATCGCGTTGCGTCACATCGCACCGCCGCAACGCACCGCACGCGCAGCCTTCAGATTTTATCTCAGCCAGCCGACAGCCAATCCGCTGCTCACCTGTTATATTAATTAAAACATTAACCTCCAACTTACATCATTTAGCGATATCTTCCTGCCTTCTGTTTCCGCGGTATATTCAGCTCAATTACGAGTACTGCACCTCTACAAAAACAAATTGCTCAAACACGATTTTGCTATTTTATTGACTATTGTGTGAGAGGTATATTAAACATTATATATGTACCTTATAATCGGACACCTGTTTGACATTATATTTACATCCTTTAAATTACATACATATGTAATAAATGCTTCAATACAAAAAATTGTCTTTTTTATTTGGTGTGAACTGCTCATTGTGGTTATACTTAGTTACATTCTTTATCATTGAAAAACCAAATGAACTAATATTGTATTGCAACAACCATAACCTTCATTAGTCGGTGTGACCTAGATAAACATATTTTTATTTACTATTAATCACGTTTGCTTAAAATATTTTCATTTCTATGTTGTTTTTAAGTTAGTGGTTAATCTTGTAATATCAGTGGCATTTGCCATACATGTGCCTTACACGTGTGTTTCGTATCATGTCCCTCCTATTAAACTTTGGTTGGGTATCAGAATTGTAGTTAATTGCACTCACCAAAAAAGCTAAAAAGTATAGTTCACTGTAGAGCGACTCCTTTTCGAGTAGAAATCTGTTGTGGTCTACTATTTTTTATGGATTTTATTCATAGTACATTTTATGAATTTCTTACCAATTACTTTAACATCCGTATAATATGTAAGTAGGTAATGATACCACCCATATACTTATTGAACGCAAACTTTTGTTAACTAAATACTCTGATTGGCTATTTTATTAAGTATGATTTCAAAAAAACAGTTTTTACCCTATGATATAAGCCATTTAACTTTCTTGTTATCACATCACATGATTTTTTTATATAGTTAGATACATAGTATAGATTTTGAATACTACCTCTTTAATATTGGAGATCCAACGTGAGAGAGTCATTGCTTCATCACATAGAGGCCGACTCGACCGGTGTGATACCATGGCCTCACAGAAAACCATTGCGAAGTTAAAAAAAATATAAGTCTATGGTAGAGCGGATTATAGGCTATTAAATAAATACATTACCATTAAATTTTAGCTTGCCAAAACTCAAGTGCAAGTGATTGGACTATGTACATAATATTAGTTTAATACTATCTGAAGGGTGCCACAGGGATCACTCCTAGATCCTTCCTACTATTTTAAAGGTTCTGTTAAAATTTGTACATATTACAACATACAGTTGTAATGAATTTTTTGAAGAAGCATAACTACATAAGATCTAATTTATGTGGAAGTCAAATGTTCCGATTAAAGTTTTAATTTTAACCTTCTTCGGGTACTTACACAAGTCAACGTTATCGGTATAAAGTTAAAAAAGGTGTAAATATACACTAGTTTTGTTGTATCGGTATGGTAAGTTTTCTAAGGAGAGACCTATGTTCAGAAGTGGACTGGTAAAGGTTGTTAATAATGAATAAGTCAAACGTATCTGGGGGCACAGTGGTGCCTAAAGATTTGAATTTGATTTAACTGCAAAATATAACTATATTTAGATGGTATAAACTCTTTCCTATCTACTTACATTATTTGAATAACGATATTGTCTCTATTATAAGGTGATTTGTAGATATGAATAACTTGTTTGTATTTCATCAATGAACCTATAATATAATTTTACAATTCAATGTACCTCCTATTCTTATTTTGTTTTGCTAAATTGTAAAAAAGAAAGACTTGGAATTTTAATGAAGACTTCTAAAGAAATGTAAAACTAAAATGTTGTAATTGAAAAATAAAACAAAATTATAATAAAAAATATATGGAATTATATTTAATTACATTTACAATTGAAAAAAGCAATTTTCTTAAATTCGAGGCATCCCGGTCATTCTAACTAGAACGCGACAGATTTTTAAACGGAGAAATATATGTCATTTTAAGTGTCAAACTATTAACTGTCAAACTGTCAACTACTCGTAAATTGGCACAATCCACAATTTGAAATACAAGTTCAGGGTCACCAAAAATGTAGCATAAACCAAGAAAGACATTCTTTCGGGGTATTATAATACGCAAATACCTCGACCATAGTTCCAATGTTTTCGTAAAAAATAAAATCATCATGTCTCTAGCACGCACAATGTTATGCAAAACCAAACAGAGGTTAGTATTACGTTAGTTAAAATGTTTTTGTTGAGTTTCTGTTTAATATTCTACAATGTTTAGTATAGTTTCTAGCTGTTATGATGAGTGTGTTAACATAAAAAGTTATTTTTTAATAGTTTTGCTTGATACCATATAAATGAAATCTAGGAATGTCAATATTTGAAATAATACAATTAATAAATACTCTAGACTTGTAATTTGCAGGTGGCCAAGTGGTTTTATGTGCAGATTTTTAAGTGCAGCAGAAGTTTCCACTGCTCTACGCCCATTTTACTTCAGTGTCCACCCCGACTTATTTGGAAAGTACCCTGAACAAAGGGTAAGTACATCTTCAGCTATATTGCTTCGTAAAACACAAATGAAATATTAAGAAATTCTAGATGTTCTCGGTTTAGTCAACTAGTATGCTTTGCTGCCGTTAGCTTCTGTAATAACCATTTATTTCTATACACACGCCTGCAAAATACATAATATTTTTCAGAAAATCAATGAAAATTCATTACAACAGTTAAGTGCAGTGCTAGAAGCTCAACAATCCAGAAAAAGAATAAATATATCATCTCTACCATTTTATTTAAGACAAAAAGATATGCCTGAGGGTAAGTTTAATATTTACAGCTTATGGTGCAATGTCTTGTTTTTTTTGTAGCACTTGATGCAATTGTAATTTTTAATTTTTTCACATTATCTTTTACTATGTCAGTTAATGTACATTCTATATTACTTCTATCTCTTCTTCTTGCATTTGCTATGAGTAATTAAGTTGTCTTAATATGAACAGGTGCATTTAAGCTAGTCAACATCCCGTTGAATGGCAGCACTGTAAGAGAGACAGTTGTCAAAGTTTTATGTGCCTGTGAAATGTCCACAACCTACGTTGATAAGATACCTAAAGACACAAGACTACCAAATACTAGGTATGAGTTTGTTTTCTTGAAATCTGTTATCGTATCAGTTATTCTGCTTTTAAAATATTATATTTAATACATTCAATTTAACATTTCAGCCAGTATAACTTTACAAAAACATATGATGACTACAGTAATGAATTTGAAAAGGTTGCACATATGAAGCGGAAGGTTCAGGAGAAAAAGGCTATAAATAATTTAGAGTATGTTATTTAAAAACTTAAACTGTACACTATAGGAATCAATATATTAATACATTCATCAGTCTTAAATGAATTTAAACTAAGCCAAATAGTTACAGCTTCATGATATTCTTGTTATTTAAATTCAGGAGGCCATCAATTCCAAATGGATTAGTTAAATGCACTTTAAAATATTGGAATTGTAGATCACTATTTAATTACACAGCCAATAATTTCTTTGATATTAAAATTAGGGCTCCATTGTTAAAGAGGAAAGAGATCTTTGGTTTGTATAATATTATGAAAGTTTATTATCAAAATAGAGCAAGAACTTCAAAACTAAAAATATAAAATAAGTTAACACCTTAATTTTATTATTTTAATAATGTTATAAGTCAGTACAATTCAATTAAAAAAATCATAAAAAGCTTGTTTTAAATAAATTAGGAAAACATATTGTTTTGATATAAAAAGGTGTAAATAACATTTTCAGAGAATGGTTATTCACAAACAGTGGACTTGCTAAGGAGAAATATGAATCAGCAAGAGCAACCCGAGACCAGGTGCAAAGTTTGATAGACAAACTTTGCAAAAACTATGGTATTAAAGAAGTTGGTAACCTATGAATATTGATAATTGTCATTCGCTATTGTTGTCATGCCATTACTTGAGATAAGTAGTTGACAATCATAAAGAAAAAAAAATGTTTTAATCAGGAACTAACTTTTGTCCTTCATTCAGGTCAAAATATTTTTTTCTTCTGGATAAGATATTCTATGTCATTTGTTGTAATCCTGGAATGTGTATGCATAATTTTTTAATGATATGAGGGCTAGTGTGAGTTTAATTCACATCAACTTGCTCTCGATTTGCAATTGATGAAGAGTCCAGTGCTGGCCAAGGGCATTACCAAACGCAGTCACAGTGGCAATTGAGTTGATGTGAAATAAACTAACACTAGGCCCTCTGCTGAACGGTACTGTATTATTATTATTTATTGTCACATATCTGCCCTATCAAGGTATTTATGTAATGATGATTTTCCAAATTAACCTCCCTTTTTATGTTTTAACACCAATGTAATGAAATAATGGAAATTTATTTCCTTTCCATATAGGTAAAATACGACAGGGGTTGGAATATAAGTCATATACGAGGAGCACTTCAAAGCCTCGTATCATTAGCGATACAGCATCCTGCAGTTATGGGTAATTTAAAAGGTAAAAACTAGTCATAGGTGTAATATATATGTTTAAGATATTTTTGTTTTTTTTTTAATATATATATATATATATATATATCTCATTATTACAGATAGAACCATAGCACTGGGCCAATTTACAGGGGTCAGTTTGGATGGTGATGTTTTTCTAAACATAATGGATGTTCGAAATGAATGGTTATCGGTAAGTCAAATATATAAAAATATACCTACAAAAAATATAAAACTAATACTGAAAGAGTGTTTGTTTTTCATAGATTTCTTCTCAGATGTTCGGGCTCAGGTGCCAACCATGTTCTGGAGTAAAGCATCTTTTTTGTTAAGAACAAAACAACACCAATGTATTTTATTAAAAGAATAAAAATTTGTAAACTTTTGATATTTTCTGAAAACTGTAGATAAATTCGCATTTAAATGGGAGAAAGAGATAACTTCATTTTCACATTTGTTTTTTAATATAGAGTTACTCACCTTAGTGTGAGAGTGATTCCACTGTTTGTAAGACTTTTTCAAATGGAAAATACATTGTTTCAAATCATATCAATTAAATATCCGTAAATTAATTAAATAAATAATGGATTAATTCAAAGCCCAGTTATGCAGTTTGACTAAAAAAAACAATTTTAATAATATTTTTTAAGAACTTAATTGAAGTTTTGTTAGGTTCAGAGTGAGTCTGTCATAGACCAACATTTATTTACAAAATTTGTTTCTTGGCACGAAAACGAAAAAAAAATTAGTTTTAGGTATAGTTTTTGTTTTTAACTTTATTATTTTTAAGTTTCCATTTTATTTTTCCGTGTGGTGACGGATTAAGAATACGGAATGTCACCACCCCTATTCATCCGGTGGGTGTCGTAAGTGCCGACTAAGGGAGCACTCTACGCAGGACAACAGCACTGCAAAGAGAAGGAAAACTTGAAACAAACTCTATATCAACCCATCTGGCCAGGGTTATATAGTAGGCCAAAACCTCGTTTCTAAGGAGAGGCCTATGTCCAGCAGTGGACTGTTACAGGCTGTTAATGATGATGATGATTTTATTTTTAACTCAATGATATTATTACTATATAAAATTTGATTGTGCAAGATATATTCCACAACACTTCTATCATATTTTTAGCCAAAGGATCATAATATGATATTTTAAATTATCTCTTTGTTTTGAATGTAGATGAGAAAATTTCATAATTTGTCAATTAAACATGCCGTAAATTGGTTTGATTTTTGCAGCTTATCAAAAAAGTAAGCCAAGAAGACAGTGCTCTATTGAAAATACCAAACTACGAAAAAACTCTATCCAGTATACTGAGGGATATACATATCTGTAGAAGGTAATATTTCAGATGTAATTTAATACGCTTTATTTCAAAGTAGCGTGTTGATTCCCGTAAACATAATTAAATATTATGGAATGGGATGGTTTAAAAGTTAATAAAATTGAAATTATTTGTTCACTGAGGAATATCCAATCCACACGTTATTTTATAATTTTTTATACTATTTAAACCGTAAATATAGTTAAAAGGAACACTATAGTTTAAAAGTTAATAAAATTGAAATAATTTATTCACTGCGGAATATCCAATCCACACTTTTATTTTATAAATTTTATACTACTGGAACGTCTGATTCCAATGGTATACCTACCTACCTTGGAATCAGATGTGGCATTTTCTTAGAAATAAATTTCAAAGATGTAAATGTATTTGTTCTAATTCTGTCTGCTTTACATGTTTTATTTAATTCTAGGAAATTCATGCCGAAAGTATCAGCAGCGCAGTACTGCAATCATCTGAGACAACTGATTACTTCTATAGGTGATTTTTATGGCAAGGGTTGTAAATTTCCTGCAAGTATTCCGGAGTCACTCAACAAGTATGAAATAGTTGTTGAACCGTAAGTGTTTTTGCACTGTATGAAGCAAACTATACAGCACATGGGTAACATCTGTGTAATAAATTCCTATTTTACTTATTGATTTCATTGAATACTAGCTGTACCCTACCATACTTTGCTGTGACACATTGTAGTTGCAAAAAATAGATAAAAACCATCCTTGAAGCGTGTTGTATAATGTGTGAGTGTTACTTAGTGACTACTGTTCATAAGAAACTATTCAAAAATCTAAAGATAAAAATGTCAACTAACAAACCACTAACAAAAAGTTAAAAAGAAAATAAGTGTTTCATGGAAGAGTTATTTACATTTTTACAGAGAAATGTCATCAAGGAACTGTAAATATTTTGTTTTAGTGAAGCTGGACCCTTAATGGTATCACCTACGGGTCAATTCATTACTCCGTCGTCTTGTCCTGCAGAAGAACTGGTGGCTTACATAGCCAAGCACCTTGACTTGGCTACGCAACTAATGACTGAATACAGCATGTAAGTTTCATGATATAATATTTTAACTGTTTTAAGAGGTCTGTTTATCAGTGATCTCCGATAGACAACCAATCGTCAATACTATTAAGTTCTTTTTTCACATTTACAATAAACTCAATAATAAAAGCAATGTCTGAAAAATATTATTGTTAGGCCTTAGATTGTCAGGCAATCCCAAAATATTTATGTTATAAATAAAATACCTTTCAGAAACAAACATGTTGAAAGAGCTCTTCATAAAGAAGTAAAAGAAAGATTCGGTCTACTGGATTTGCAAAAAGATGATAGTATAACGCCAGGTTTAATGATATCATGTTGTCAGAGATTACTTACTAGGAGTCCAGCACTGAGTGAGGTATGTGCAATCCCTACTAGTAAGATAAGACTAGTAGTAGACTAGTAGTAGACTAAAATTCTGTGCTTTTTTTCTCTTGTACGCTTAGATCTTTCAATCTACGCAACGGATTTTAATGCGGTTTTCAACAATAGAGAGAGTGATTCAAGAGGCGGGTTTATATGTATAATACATGCATATTATTGTAGAGGCAATCCGAGAATTTGAAAGATTTTTAATGGCAAGTTGTAAAAACATGTTTTGGTACACTTAAATTGGAAACGCTGCCTTGCTAAAGTTTACGGGATAGATAAAAATAATGTACTACGGAATTGTATGTCTGTCTCCTAAGGATAACCCACAGTAACCATTTTTATCTCTTACATTTTACAAAAAATAATAAGTAATTTACGAAGCCATTTTGAACAATAAAGTAATATTCTTTATCCAGATAAATACGTTAAGGACTTTGTGCAATTAATGTAGATCAAAATTGCCTTTTACAGCATATCATTAAATGAATATCTTAGTAGATAGGAGAGATTTAAAATGCGGGGGCAAAGCGGCCGTTGCCGCGTCGGCCGTTTCCGTCCCGTGTGTACTTGTTTATTAATAGGCCCACTCCTCTCCTGCCGGCCGCTATTAATATTGCATTTAAGGTGTCCTGTAGTATAGTATTATCATAATAATAGTATAATTAATTACTCCAAACTCACACCAAATTAGTAGTATTTTAGTATAATAGTATCTACAATGCACCCATCCGAAGCCAGGGCGGATCACTACTATATTATAAATAAATGTGAAAGTGAGTCTGCCTGTCTATTACGCTTTCACGGCTAAACCGCTAAACCATTTTAATGAAATTTGGCATGGAAATTCGGTGGAGCTGCGGGCAAAAGCTAGCTATTATATTTATTTATTGTAAGAGCATATACTACCGGGTGTTTTTGCTAGTATAATACCTACTAATATAATAATAACCCGCTGTACCGCTCTAGTACCTCCACTGTAATAATACTATAAAACTCACTCTGAGGACACCCGTCACTCTGAGGAGAAGGACAAAAGCTATGTTAAAAGTAAGGTCATTATGACATCGAAATATCTTAGATACTTACCAACTTTAACCAATGGACTAAACTTACAAACTTGCAATTTGGTCGCGGGGCGGGGGCCGACTCCCCTACTATAGGAAGAGGTCTATACTCTGCCTTTAAAAAAGGACATCTGCAGAAATTATATTTTTAACCCTTCACTGCCCAACAAGATTGTTTTTTAACTCCTATAATTTTTTGTTGCAGAAACTTCAAGGAAACCGTCTATATATAACTCATTACTATTCAGTGTTATCAGAGGGAATATTATGTATACCTTGGAATTTCAAATCGTGAGGCTTGGACTTAACTTGTAATAAAATGAGATGAATGGTTATTCATTTATATTGCTGTAAGTTCTTTGTACTTGCAGTTTTGTGCATATTTTTATAGATCAAAATAATTTACATTAATAGTTACCGTAATCGAATTTGTACCATACTATATAACCTCAATGCATTAATTACATACATATGTATACAAACTATGCATGCCTTTACGAGAGAAACTTTTAAAGCGAAGAAATATGTCTAAAAAATATATTATTTTAATTGTACATATCACTTTTCTATTGCTTATCTTTAAAGGTTCCTGACCTGGACGTTGACGTTATATGTACAATATATTATACTATATTGGCTTTGTCTCACGATCATTCTCTCACTGCCGAAATTCACGACCACGCAATATTCGGCTTAATTTAAAACATTATTAGTTTGAAAGGGTAGATATATATTAAAAAATTAAACTAAGCAAGAAATCGAATATTAGTAAATATATTTTAATAAACGATAATTATTTACAGTAATTTAAGTCTTTATTGGCAAAAATATTTACAATACATTGTGAACAATATCATTAAAAATTATTTACATATACTTTGTAGAATCATTAAAGAATGTGATAAAATGACTATTGAATATAATACTAAGTCAGTACATGAGACGTTCAAGACTTAGTCTTAAAAATATTGCTAATAAAAATGAGTATGAGCATAGAGTTAACAAGTAACAATAAAGTGATAAGCAAGTATCAGTGTTTTTTATTTTGCTGCACTATGATGAGCTTGTTCTTTTCCTTAGTGACCTTCGCGACAGGCAGGTTTGTAGCTGGCATCAACTGGCGTAGATTTTGACTAGGGATTATGGGTGGCTAAAAAAGAAAATATTGTATAAAAATATTATTAACTAAGTAAAACATAAAAACAGACATTAACAAAACAGTTTGGGGTAGGTATAGAAAGAAAAGTACCATTGTATCTGAACTTTTTACAACGATAGGTCTCGCGGTAGAGGGAAGCCGGCTTTGTTCACTGACCTGATACTGGTCAATTCAAGTAATAAAAATTCATTCAAAATTTAGTGCCGATCTGCTATCGATCTCAAAAATGTCATAAAAAGTATTCCCGTCCTAAATTATTATACATCCAACGTTGACCGTAATTTGATTAGATCGTACTGTGATCGATCGTATTTAATATAAAATACTGGACGTTATTTTTATACAGAGGGACCGTATTTACCCGTTTCGTGGCCACTGTCCCGCCCAGGGACATCTTGTAAAAATGTTCAGTGAGGCCAATGACACTTAGCGCGTCATATAAAGAATATAATTGAAAAACACGTTAAAACTAAATCCGTGCTTTGCATACAGCTTGTATTTTTAACCAAAAGATTCAAGACTCGTTTTGGTTTGACTCAAAGAATCCTTGTTTTGTGCCATAGGTATTTTAATTATTTAAATTTTCTTTTTAAAGTTGATACTGAAACTGCCCAGACAAGTACGAGATTTTAAAAATTTCCTTTTCAATTTAGTTTTCCTGAATGTAGTCAGTCAATTAATATTGATTCTTTATTGCAATCTTTCTGACAATGTTCATCTATGTTCGTAAATAGTGTTTGGCTACATTCAGGAAAGTTGTCATTATGATCTAGTTGATTATATCTGCAATAAATTTGTTTCACTGCAGATAATCAACAAGAACATAATACATACAGTTGCATTTAAAATAAATTACCATTTAGGAGATCCTTTGTGAAAAATCTGATTATTGTAGTTAAATAATTAAATAAAATAGGTATAGTTGCGTAAACTGGCATGAATTGATTAAGTTAATATTACTGAATATTTCAATCAATTTGTCAAAAATGTTTACAATCACTGACACATTTTCTGAAAAATATGAATGACTACATTGACACGCCGTATCACCTTTGGATTTCCATAAAGAAAAAGAAAGAATACAAAACTATTTCTTTCTTTTCGCGAAATTACAATGAAACTTGAATAAAATGTAACTAGTAGCCAATGACGCCGATGTAGCGTCATCGTTTAACAGGGCCAATAACGCCTCTGGCGCAGCATCAAACAAATGTTTTGGGCCGTACTAATATTGAACCGAAATGAAGGTGGCGATGAATCGGTTATTCTACTTACTGGTGGATATCTGGCGAGTTGCTTCATACGATCAACCAATCTCATGGCATCGTCTGATGTCTCTGAATCAGTAGTCAAGCCCAAGGACAGCGCTCTTTCCGCATTGCCGCCATCCAAACACCGATGTATTGATTGGAAATGTCTAAAAGTAAAAGAATGTTCCGTATAAAATAATTGTATTGATTGGAAATGTCTAAAAGTAGAAGAATGTTTCGTATAAAATTATTCTAACATATCTACAAATTTTGTGAGTTTTGTTCCTTATTTGTCATCAATGCAAACAATGTGCCACAGCAAAGCGTGGATGAGTAAGCTAGTACATTATGTAGTTTCGATTAATGGTGTTCCCCAACAGATTAAGGAAAATTCCGAGTCATTCACGAGGAGGGTTAAGTGGTTTAATTCATTAAAGGTTTGGGTTTTATATAAATTTGCTAGTATATGACGCTATTATGGTACATCTTGGAAAAAATCATGCTGTTTAGGAGCTATAACTGAGGTATCATTTGGTGGTGTCATTGGGAAAGAATGGATTTTTATGGTATCTTTGTTTATTTAAACTTACTTTATTGTATTTTGCCCTATCTCAAACACTTCGGATCAATAGTTGAATTCTTGCAAGTGTGTTTTTACATTTTACTTCTGCACAGAGGGCAACGCCTTCACTCCAGGCACTCACATTACAGCAACAGACTTTAATAGTCCACTGCTGGCCCTCTCCCTAGATCTTTTTAGAGAAGGTTTTGGCCTACTATATATACTAGCTTAACGTGGGTACGTTAAGCTAGTGGTGTTACTTATAAATAGAACTTTTTAAAATGATTTATTACCAACAATCAAATAATATGTGTTTAAAAAACCAAAAAGTATGTGTTTTGAAAGTGCTTTTGCAAAGCACAAGCACCTTGAATGAGCATGCGGCTTAACACGTTGCGCGTGCCTCCAGGCAGCTGCTGCCCGCGCTCGCCATGCGGCTGTCTCTTCAGTTGCTGCAGCCACGCCGGCCTCAAGCGCAGCACAAGCCCCGCGTAGATCCACCACCTTCGACGAGACGAAACTTTTTGAATCTATATAACTAGGCAACAACAGCAATCAAACATCATCTCCTCAGTTTCGAGATGTCTATTGTTGAGCACAAGCCTAAGTTTATGTTGCGAAAGGTCATTTCAAGCTAAAGCCTATATGAAAACATACCTTTTATGGGAATATTTTTGTCTATGTTTGTGTATGTTATTCCAAATCATGATTAGAAAGAATACTATTCACTTCTGTGCTGGCACATAACAATAACCCTGTAATGTTTTGTGAAAGTGCATGACAACATGTGAACCATACATATGAACACAAAACAATAGACCCTTACCTTTTGAAAGTAGCGATAAAGCAATGTCTTCATTTCATCATGTGATAATTTATCAAGCCGGGCCATTAACATCTGCTCACCCCTGCTTCTAGAGTCCTTATTGTCTTGTGAATCAGACAATGATGCAGATGGAGATTTACCACATATTAAATTATTTTTATATTCTATTGCCGTGTCTATAGCTTCTATTGCTTCTTCACATTCAAGCAATTTTCGTTCCTGAAAATTATATATTTTTTAAATATCTCTTAAGTGATACAACCATCATACTAAATGCATTATAACATACCTCAGAATCTGATAGTGATTTGTAAATTTTTCTCTTGTGTCCTAAACTGCATCTCTGTTCATGCAAGCACTCTCTAGTTTTTCGTAAGTTTTTGATTTCTTTTCTTAGCATTAATTCCTTTTCTTTGGACAACTCTAAATTCTCTAAATCATTTGTTTTTTCCTTCAAAATACTGTCTAATTGTGTTATTCTATGTGTGAAATGTTTTAAAGAATTAGCTTTCCTATCTTTTACATCTATTGAAGTATCTGAGAGTTCATCAAGTTTCAGTTTATCTTTCACAAGTTCTACATCTAAAGTATTTTTACGCTTTTCATCTTTTTTTATTTGTCGTTTGATTTGTTCAATCTGCTTCTTATAGGTTTTAAGATTTGTTTCATGTCTTTTTATTTCTCTCATAGTATCTTGATCTATTAAGCTAGATTCTATTTTTTCAGAGTAAGTTTTACTATGTGTATGGCAGATTGACTTGGACAGATCACTAATCAGTCTCTCTTTGGCAATACATAGATTTATCAATTCTTTCAGCTGTGTCTGACTACTACCAATTTCTTTGGAGAGTTTCCTTGCCAGTATTTGCTTTTGTGTATATTTTTCTTTTGTAATTTTGTACTTTTTACATATCTCTTCAGTCTTTGGAGAATCAATCATTTTCAGTAATTCTCTCTCTATAAGCTTTGGCTCAGGATCAACATCTTTTTTATGAGATTCTATTAGTATCTTTTGAGATTCAGGTGAAATAGCTTTTGCTGCAACTTTTCGTAAAAGCTCTAACTCTGCTCCTGAGAGACTTTCTCCAGGTTGTATTGTTCTTCTTCGGCCTGAATTTGATTGAGAAGTCATAACAGGTAATGATTGTGACCCACTTAACTCTGATATTGTTATGTCATCAGAGTCAATATGATTTAAGTACTCTTCACATCTATCAGCAAATAGCTGATCATTTTTTTCTCTAAAGTATTCCATAAATTTCTCAAGTTTATCTTGGAACACAGTATCAGAGTGAGTATCGTCCTCTGAGTCTGAATCAACATCTGATTCACTGGGCTCACTTGGTTCTGTGTCTTCAGCTATTCTTGGTAAACCTTGCTTTGTATTTGCATCTTTGTTGTCCGCACTTGCATCTCCATTTAAGCATTCATCACATTCTGCTTTTAAAAACAACCATTCACTAACTTGGTTGACATCAGCCTCTGATAAAGATTTGGATTGCAGAATTTTATTAAAAAGACCTTCAGCATTTGAAACTAATTTTATCCATTGCGCTGTAGCAAATTGCAAATTAAAATTGTTATCTGAATGCGGTAATACAGATTTTTCAGAATATACAGTAGTGTTATTATCAGCAAATAAATTTACAGTAACAAAATTTTTTATGCCTCTGCAGCATAAACATAAGTTAAGGGTTTTTAAGGTATCTTGATAATCTTCTGGTTCAGTACTTATACATCCAATAACCCAAGTGAAAGCCCTACCACCAAAAGAGTCTCTAAGCATTGCAGTAAGAATACATTGATCATAATTTATTTGTTTCGGTGGATTTCCAGCTAATAGTTCTTTAATAATATTTTCTAAAGCAAATAAACCAGGCTCAGGGTATGCAGCAAGATCACAAAAGCTGGCAGTTGACATTCTGTGGTTTAGGACACCATTTGTACTGACCCACTTCTGTTCTACACTCACTGTAAACACAGTGTGATTATTGCCTTGACATCTCTGCCTCCATCCAAGTTGTAAGTATTGGAATGCCTCTTCAACGTTACAGCACCTCACAAGTCCAGAACCCAGTACATCAAATATGCTATTATTGACTACTTGCATCCACGTTATATGTAGTATGAATTCTCTTTCAGGCATTTGATTCAGTTTGTGAAATATTTCAGACAAGAACCGAGGCACAATACCTTGGTCACATTCACTATGGATACACTCAAAGCCTGTAAAAAAAAATTGTTTACACTCAATGTCATATTTAACTACATCATTAAAAGAAATCAACACTATACATTAGACATGTTTACCTTCTCCAAATAAGGTATAAGTTTTTCCTGTCTTGGCCTGCCCAAAAACAACTACTGAAGTATCACATCCATCCAAAAAGCAATTGATTTGCGGTATCATGAACGAATTGAATAGGTGAGCCTGTGTGCAATCCACTGGTAGTGCTCTATTTACGTGAAATGTTTGTCCACTCTCTGTGATGACTATTTGTGTCACAGGATTACTAAAAATGCACTGCGAAGAGTCTGCAAGACTTGGAGGCTTTAGCCTTACGGCTATTTGTACTGGGATATCCATAACTGAGTAAACTTTTTTCTTAAATCAGACAAATATAGAATCCGACCCTAATCTGAAAGCTGTATATTTGCTTCACAACGGCAGACTATACACCTTTCGCTAAAAAAACAGTACGAGTTGCATTTTCAAACGTAGGTAACAACTAAATGTGTTCTTTATAAAGTAATCTAACTAAACTTTATTGATTTCATTGGTAAATAATGTAAACATGGTGCTATACAGATATACAGAGCACTAACAGTTGTGGTTGAGCCACAGAGTACAGTAATAGTAATACACAGATAATTATATAGTAGTCAGAGACAGATGGGACACTGCATATGTCCCGGTTAGTTCCAATGAGTTCACATTCAATTCAATTCTTTATTAATAAAAATATAAGCATCACAGTATACACCAAATCGCTTATATCTATGCTAATTTTAACAAAAATAAACTAAATACTATTACAATTTTAAAACTCAGACCATCAAAAAGAAACAACATAAAATTTGTAAACAAAAACAACCTTACATCAACTTAGGAACTATAAAATTACTCTTTAAAATTTAGATATGTATAAATATGTTTTAAAATTATGCTTTGGGAGTCGAAAAATATATCTGCATCTGGACTATACTGAAGGAACTCATTGATAAGCCTAATTGCTATAGCAGTGGGGCTATGGTCAGCCTGGGGAGAGCGCCACGTAGGCGGACAGCACAGGAGTCTATGTTGTCGTCTTCCAACGGCACGCATATATTGGTCGGGAACATAAAAATGAATTGTTTCCCGTACAACCGGGCTATCTACCTTATTCGCCAGTATCAAACAATAATGCATTATATGTGTAGATTCCCTTCTGAGTTGAAGTGTATCCAAACCCACCATTCCTGACACAAACAGTGAAGGATAGAGAAAGGGGTAGTATCCATACTGACGCTTATATAGGTATCTACAGAATTTACGTTGAATTTTTTCTATCATAATATTATACAACGACTCCCGTGGACCCCAGACTATTGCATTATATTCTAATTTACTACGCACATAAGTATTGTATATTTGCATTATAACTTGAGTATTCTTAAATTGTGAAGATATTCTGATGATGAAACCAAGGCATTTATTAGCGTCTTTGCATATTTTAAGTATCTGGTCATGAAAATTTAATTTGTTATCCATTGTTACTCCCAAATCCTTGATTGAGGGAACACGTTCCATTGGGGCGCCTGCAAGATGATATGTATTTGTAATCGGATTACGGGATCGAGAAAAAGTGATAGTTTTACATTTGGAATTATTAAATGATAACTTGTTTTTTAGACTCCACTCAACTACAGCGTCAATATCATGTTGTAGGGCCAAACAATCCTTAGCTTCATTTACAGAAAGGTACAGTTTGAGATCATCGGCAAACATCAGACATTTTGCATTTAATATAACATTAGGTAAATCATTGATCATTATCAGAAATTGCATAGGACCTAAGGTACTACCCTGACTGACCCCTGATCGAGTATAATATTCTTCCGATTTATGTCCTTCTACCTTAACAAACTGCTTGTCATTACATGTCGCTAGTGTCGCAAATACCGTTGAGATTTAGCACAGATTCAGATGTCGACACGACTGGATGCCGACCAATGCCGACTAAGGGCGGAAAACAACACAGGACACCAGAAAAACACAACACTGCAAAAAGAACGAAAACTTGACAAAAACCCTATACCAACCAGTCTGGCCAGCGTGGTATAGTAGGCCAAAACCTCCTTTCTAAGGAGAGGCCTATGTCCAGCAGTGGACTATTAAAGGCTGTTGATGATGATGATGATGATGATGAAATTTTTGCCCGTTGCAGTCATTGAGCTTTTAATAAATCAATGGTTGCAGTGATTTATAAATTATGTAAGACAGTTTCCATACGCTAGACATTGTATTGTATGTGGCATCCCTTTTCAGTGTGACCGTTTACGGTAGATTTTCTACTGAAGCAGTAGATTTCCAATGACAATTTCGCCATGCAGTAGATATGCAGTAGTTGCCAAACATCTAGTAGATTTGAATCAATAATGGTTCCGGCTGAAAGGACTTGCGTCCAAGCCTATAAATTATGTTGGCAGCAATGGCAGCGCTTATATTAGTACTGTTTGTAGCAGGGGCTTCCTCCGACTGTAAACTTTTAAGCCCGACTGACACGGAATTTTCCACTCTAACAGTTAGAGACTAGAGTATATTTTAATTATTATTTTGATTACGATTTAGAGTATCGTTTAAACTACTTTGAAGGTTAATTTCTCTTTATATTGCATTATGTCAATATGTCAATCTCTTAAATAATTCGTTTAGCTCTCTACACGAGAGCTAAACGAATTATTTTATAATTACAATAATGCAACACATGTTTATAAATACAATAAAACGTTAATTTGAACCATACTATCCCGCTGAATGGTAACAAAAGCCATTACTTTCTTCGTGGCTCTGTAAAAATTTTAAGCAGATTAGCGTCTATTAAAGAACAAAGTGGTAGTAGCAAACATTAAAACAATATGAAACATTACAGTGGGCGATCAAAGGCATATTTGTTGATATTATCGGAAAGTTGATAACTACTTATTAATCAAACATATAAATTTATATTAATCAAACATTTAAATTTTATTTTAAATTATTCAAACATTTTAATTCAGTGAAACGATAATAATAATCAAAAAGTTCCAAGTTTTAAAACTGGTTTATTCAAGTTTTCATTCATTTTTCTAGAAAACTTCCAATGTACTTCCAACTGCCAATATACTATGCTAGGCTCCATGGTTTTGTTTTGTAAACACAAAGTTTCAAAACCATCTCGACGATCTCCGTGGCTGAGTGGTTTGTACGCCCCGGTTTCAAGGCGTCGCCATATCTGGACGTTCTGGGTTCAATTCCCGGTGGGGCCAAATACAGGCATTTGTTCTTCAGTCTTGGATGTTCATATACGTACAAAGTATATAATGAATATTTGTATAAAATATATCTGTTATGTGTATATTTATCCGTCATCTAGTATCCATAAAATAAGCGGCATAATCTGCTTAATTTGGGCTAGTTGATAGGTGTCATTGGCAGAAGATATTTATTTGTTTAAAGTATAGTCATTTTGATTGTATGCATCCTAGTAAAAATACAGTCTATTAATCTATAAAAAGTAGCAAATATAATTGTAAAAATGGGTGGCGATCAGACACAAAAAAATCAGGAGTTTGTAAGAAGGTTGCCGTTATTTCTAGTTAAGCTATGCATGCAATTGAAAAAGAGACTACCAATGGAACCTCATTTGTTTAGGGAGTTAATATTTTTGGACCCCTAAATAGCAGCGTATGAGCAGTTTCTAGTCTCGTATCACTTACTCATTTTCCTAATTTAGTGTGCGATGAAAATACACAACAATTAATGGACGAAGAGTATCGTCAGTTAAAATATGACAATAACGTACAAAATTTACTGGCATCGTCTAGTAACTCCATAGTGTCACAGGATACTGATAAATTTTGGGCGAGCGTTCTTATATTAACAGTTAGTAATAATAAATTGATGATGATGTGTTTGCCCGTATCGAACGCTTCATGTGAGCGTATATTTTCGCAAATTAGTTTAATTAGAACTAAACATTTTAATCGATTTTTAAATACACATTTATCATCGCTTTTACACACAAAACAAGAGAAAATTGATAGTGGAGAAAATTGTACAAACTTTATACCTGATACTAAAATGATTAGATTAAGCAAAAATTTTAATGATAATTAATATTCTCAATCAAATTAAAATAAAAAATCGTGTTTTATTACAACCACAGTATTCAAATGCATCAAAATGTAGGTTGGTGTAATTTGGGTAGATTTTTTACTTTAGTAGATTTTAGTAGAAAAAGTTGCCGAATTTAGTAAATTTGTAAAATTTTGTAACGGTCACACGGTCCCTATTTGACATTAGTTAATCACAATCACAACTACGAGTAGAAGTGTAGAACTTATAGAATTGAAGTATTGGCTATTCTGGTGGTAATATATCATCAGTTCTTTTCAGTGAGAGTAGAGTAATGCTCTCCGAAATCACTCTTATTTTACGTCTATGAAATCAGATTATCTGTCGTTGCAATTTAATTTTTATTAAAATTTATTAAAAGATTTCACTTTACCGTTTGTTACCGTGCATTTGTGTAGGTTGATGTTTCATAGTGATTTTGTGAGAAAGTGATAAACTACTTTAGATAAATTAAAAGACAGCCATTGAGAAATTGGTTCTGGACTATTTTGTAAATTTAATTTAGGAATGGAAATGGAGACTGTCGGTGACGTCGGCCTGGGCCATCACGAACCTCCTAAATACGGCTTGAAATTACTTTTAAACCATGAATACCCTATACAAAGTAAACAGAAAATCCTACCGAAACCAAAACAAGCCCTTGAAATGATGCCTCTTACTGCCAGGTGAGATTTATTTTAAAATAATAGTCTTTTTTAAAGCTTTAGTTGCTTATCTTAAGAATAACAGCTGTACTACTGGTACCCAAATTTGATGAGACTTAAAAGCGTTATAATTAGTAAATGTGAAAAAATGGTCTTTTGTGATCTTAACTGAAAGAGTCATCTTTTTTTATCTAAAATCTGCTAAATATGTGTGAAATTGTTGTCTAAACTGCTTGAGTAAAAAATTTTAAACCATTATTTCTGTGTGAAATTGACAGCTGTTATTACAGGTGTTTAAAAAAAACATATCTTATCAACAATTATTAGATATTTTCGTGTTATCTTATACTACACCTGCACTTGATAAGTTGGATTTGTTGAGGTTATTGATATGGTCAATAATTAAACATAATCCAGCCTATTCTTACTAAGGATTAATTTGTAATTTGACTAGGGTTTAAGAGTGGCATGATGATCAAACTTAATAATGTGATAGTTTACATAAGTATTACCTTATAATGTACACAAAAAAAATTGGGTGTACACCTTGCAATGTTGAAAATAAGAGACTAAGTACTATAAATTAAAAGTATAACTACACTTTCTTTTTTTTTCTGTGCGGAAATCCCCTTGGATACCACTTACCGCTGGCAATGTCGAACTCAAACCGACTAAAACCGCACGCCGTCTCAGGTACCAGTAGTCGAGGAACCAGGTGTACCTTAGAAAGGAAATCCCTGGTGCCCCAATGTACCTCGGGCCATCTACGGCGGGTAGACGGCACTCACTGTGTGGAAACCCCCATCTTCACCTGCTGGCCTGCTTCTGCTCGGGTGACAGATGGCCTCACCTGTCACCCCAGGCCTGCGCTTATGGAGAACGGAGATCGTTCTGCGACTTCCGGCGCCTGAGTCGTCTGCGGTACCTGGCCCGGGAGAGTTCTAAACCTCTCCCGGTCCCGCTCCGCCATCTCCTTCGCAAGCATAACTTGCTCACAGAAGGAGACGGTAGAGTTCCACGCACTCTCTTTCCGCACGATAGCCGCAATAAGGTTATCGAGCGAGAGAACTCCCACTCCGATGGCCGCCACGAGGTCTCGCCTCTGCTCCACCCACGCCGGGCATTCTGCCAGCGTGTGGAGCGCCGTGTCCACGGTCCGACCATCGCAGTGGTGGAACTCAGGCGTTGGCTCCTTGCGGATCAGACACAGGTGATCCCCGAAACATCCTCTAATCACCTGCGTTAGTCGGTATGAGAGGGTCCCGTGATGCCTCTCGAGCCAATCCTCTATAACGGGTCTTACCGCCACGATGACGGCGTGACCGAAGTATAACTACACTAGAAAAGAAAGATAGAAGAAAAAAAAACAATTTCTTTAGTACAATCATTCAGGTCTATAAAGCACTGAGAAATATAACCCGGGATATTATTATAATTATTGATATCATTTGCTATTATTCTACCTGATGTAAAATATAGTAGTAGTTTAATATTATTTTAAAAAACTATAATAATGAAGAAAAGAATAGTGTTAGGAAGAATGGCCTGCTTTTCAATAGAGGGTAAAATAGTAATTTATTTACTGTTTCAAAATATATAAAGGTACCTAAAGAGTTTGATTCCTAGATCCCGCAATAGGATTCCCTGCATTGTGAGATCTAGTCTCTTTCATTTCACTTGCATTACAAGACATTAACAGCATCATCAGATCGCAGCCTATCGCAGACTACTGCTGGACATAGGTCACTTAATTTAACAATAATATAACAATAAAATAATAAAAATAATGTTTTTAGTACTAAAGCCTGAGCTTTAGTACTAAAAACAACAGTCTTTGATATAAACTTAACCTCTACTTACTTTGAAACTAGTTGCCGTTTCATGTCAGATGTCCGACCACGGTAAAACAACTGTCACTAACGGCCATGGAGCTTATGACGGCCGGTAGCAATACTGAGCCGAGTCCTCAATGCAATCGCAGGGATAACAGGCGGGACTCAATTCCCTCCTAGCGATGGAGTGCAGGTAGTTCCTGAAGCGGCCTTGCCCGGAAAGGACCTGCGTAAGTCGGACGTAGAGCCTCCAGCGAGCGGAGGCCGAATGCCGCTAACCACCCGGAACTCTGTTGTTCCGTCGATATACTTCGGCGAGCACTACCGCTTCCAAATCCCACGGGGGAGTTACGGCATACGCGCACGCCACCTCCGTTCTGGCTCCTTTTCCATTTTGTTGTGTCTGAATGTGGTATCTCTTTGTGAAGATATGGTATTTTGGGATCCACTCGCATGGGTCTGCTATTAGTGGTTCGCACTCCACTAATTGATCCCATAATTTGGAGTGCGATCCTCACCTTTGTGCCACAGACCCAGGTGTTTGAGTCTAATGATCGCCATGGCTGCCTTTTGCTGTATGAACATGTCTTTCGGTTTAGCCCATGTTCATACAGAAAAATGCAGGCAGACCAAGAGCCACCTCTAGTGCGGCAGTTGATGTTGTGTGCGTATGCACACCAGTATGCCAGTGACCGCAGAGAATGGGAGTGGCTGGAATTGCTGCAATTTGTTTATGACGGTGCTTAGTTCTGTTCTCTGCCACCAGAAAATCATACCGTACGTGATTATTGGTCTTATAACTGTTCTGTAGAGTATAGTGTAATCTTTGGTGATAGTCCCCAGCTTTTGTTGAGTAGCCGTTTGCATTGACATAAGACGAGGCTTTGTTTAGTTTCTCTTCAAGGTGCCTATTCCACAGAAATTTACTGTCTGGTATTACTCCTAGGTATTTGACCTCTTTAGTGAAAGCCAGTTGGGTTTCGAATAGTTTGGGTAGTCTGAAATTTCCTAGACTACGTTTTTTTGTGAACATGATCACATTTTCGATGGGTTCACTGTCAAGTTGTGTGTTACACACCACTGCTAAAGATAGTCAGATTGTCTGCATAGCCTATTGTGAGGAATCTACGGTCATTGAGTTTACACAACAATGTTCCATAGAAGAGGAGAGAGTACACAGCCCGTAGTAGCCCCGTAGCCCGGCTCCCCCCCTAATCAATAATCATTTCTATATATCTATACCTTTTACATATATACAACACGATGTAAAGTGGATTGCGTTGATTTTCCCATTGAATTGCTTGTGGTGTAAAGGGTGCCTGACTAACGCAGTGTTCCTAAGTTCTTTATTTCCCTATCTATTAGCCTCCCGAGAACATTTAATAGAAAGGACGTGAGACTGATAGGTTGTTGTGATTTGAGTTCTATGTAGTCACCTTTGCCAGGTTTGGGAATGAAGACTAGGTACTTTAACTTCTCTCTATTTCAAGGGGACGTAATGGTGTGCCAAGCAGCCTCTGTAAATTTTCACACGGTGATCCAAAAGCGTTACGTCACACTATCAGCAGGCCTTGGAAGATACCATCCAGTCTGAATGGGAGGAAGCTGTTAATTGCCCATCTAAGTTTATTGTCCGAAAATATTATTATAATGGTTTACAACTATGCGGGCCGTGTTCCAGTCTGTATAGTGAATAGTGTCATGTTCAAAGCATAATTTTAAAGTTCTTTTCTTTGCAGTCAATAATAGGCCATGATATTGTATGTTACAGTTTTAACTGTTTTATACTGTCATTCATTACATTAAAACTACTCTGAGACATACCATGTTGTTGTAAAGAGAAGTATCCTTTTGTCTGGTTACCGTAGTACGGGTTCTGCCTAGTTTGGGATCCGACTGCTGTGTGTGAGATGTGTGAAAAAAATCTGTTGTTGCGATAAAAAGAATTCTATAGCACTCAGGGAAAATATACCTTTCTAACAGTGAAAGATTTTTCAACATGGGATCAGTAGTACTGGACATTACCATGATCATACAAACTCACTAACTTTATCTCTTTATTATCCCTCCATCCACCTACCTAGGAATTATTGATCACTTTGTCTACATTTTTAAAAGGTACTTGAAGTACTACATTGGCAAGAAGTGGAATAAAAAACGTCCCATTATGGACTATATCAACATGATTTCAGCTCAAAGAATGTATGGTAAGTTATTTTATGATATACTTATTTCTATAATATAATATATATAATTTCTATAAAGATATTTTTTCCTACGTTTGACGCGTGCATCGCGTGCTGTTGCGTGTGATTTTAAATGTAAATCCTGCTTTTGTACATGTTTCACTTTTTTTTTGCAACTCTTCATAGAATCAGCTAAATTTTTTCGTTATTTCAACAATTTTCTTTTTCTAAAGAAAGCCAACGGTTGAGGTTCCTCATCGTAATCTAATTTGCTAATGATAATACCGTAACGATATCGAATTACGTTGCATTTGCGTCGCGCTCATGCCTAAGGCCTGAGCAAAGGCTTTTATTCCTGCACTAAGAATTTTATTTTAGTTTATCAATGATTTTTTAGAAAATATTTATTTACGTTTTTTCAATTCGTAATTTTACTGAAAGAAGTTATACATAGGTCGACTTTATACGACTTCACAGGAAACCATTTTACTGAATAATTGAGGTTACCGGAGGACCAAATTGTTCAATCTTTAGGGAAGAAAGAGGAGGACCAGGCCTCCTCTTTATTCATTTTATAAGAAATCTTAGTTCATTTTATAAGGCTTATAAATTTACTACTAACGTCGTTTTACGTTTTTTCACGCACTAATGTCAAAACATTTCTAAGATTGTGGAGATTCTACTTTTTATTATCGAGAAAATCATGATTCTTAAATGATTGGGCGTTATGCCAAATTTAGTGTGATTAAAATGAAGTACTGAGCATTAATAGCTGTACTTTTTTGGGAAATCGCGTTGTTTCACATGTACCTACTCGCCAAATGACACTTGTTATAATGTTAACTTTAAAAAACAAAATATTATCTAATTTTTTAGACCCTGTCTAGAGCTGTTCGCGAAATACACGAAAAGTATACATAGGTATATTCTGAATATGTAGGTATATTTTGTGTATGCATATTGATCGGTTGTAACGGGCACTTCTGGTTTTTGATATTTGGTTTCTTAATAGTTGCATGTCTTATAACATTTTTATACTTTTTTATTGAATATTGAATACCATACTTTTATATTGAATACTTAACAGTTTTATAAAACTATGTAGAAAATTTAGAAAATCAAAATGTTTTAAGAAAGTATAATAATATTTATTTAACTGTTTACTTTGTCTGTGGCAGATGTAGAGTTGACACATAGTTTTTAATCCTCAGGGTGTCCTATTGGTGGTATTGGTGGCGGGACTATTGGAAGAGGGTTCAAGGGTGAATTTTGCCGCTTTCAACTAACTCCTGGTCTTTATGAATATGTCACGGTGCCTGAGTGCCAGTTCATTGTGAACATTAGAAATGCAAACAATGAAACTATTTTCCAGTCTGTTTTGTCTACATATAAGTAAGTTAAAAAAAAACGGATTTGTGATTCTTATATTTTATGTGACTTTTCTGTGCAATATTTTTTTAGTTGGCTTACATACGATTTATGACTTAAAATACATTCAGATTTAGAACAACCAACTGTGAATAATAAAAACTAACATTATGTAATAATACTTGTACTTTTCACACATGTATGAAAAATAACGATTGTATTTAATTAACGATAAGAACATTATCTATAATTAGTTGCCTGCCATTCAGTAAAACCATGTATTATGCTATGCGATATCAATGAGGATTAGGAATTAAAAAAAAAAAACAATTTTTTTCATTGCCATAAAATCGCAAACTAACCTTGACTTGATTTTAGCAAACCAAAGAAAGCACCATCTACTTGGGAGTGGAACTTAAATGGTGGTAATTGTGAATATACTGCGCTATACCCTCGCGCATGGACTACCTACGACCTGTCTAAATACGGAGTGAAGCTTATCTGCAGACAAATTTCACCCGTAATACCGCACAACTATAAGGTATACTTTTAAATTTGAGAGTTAATTTACAAATCCATAATGTTTGTTAAGAAATTCTATTTTTACTTTTATTAGCCTCACTTCAACGAACTATGTATACGAATCTTGGCAGCAAACTTTAACCTAGTTCTAATTGTCGTATCGATACGAAACTTTGTACGTAAGTATATTTAGTGCTAGCTGATCCGCGCAACTTCGTATGCGTTTCTCAAAATTAGTAAGAAAAAATCCCGTTTTTGCAATATTTTTCATAGATGCTTAGTTCTTATTGGTCGTAAAGTGAGCCTATATAAATGGGCGCAACACTACAACACTCAACACTAAAATAATTTTTCAATTTAAACCAGTTGTTCCTGAGATTAGCAACCAAAACAAACTCTTCAGCTTTATAGTATTAGCATAGATGATGGTAGAGGCGGTAGTGGTTCAACTTTTTTTTGACTTCTGGTAAATGTTTGGATTTTGACTCACGTTACTGGTTCTGAAGTCCAACAGATTAGGCGTAGTAATGATGGTCTCATGACAAAATCAGGCGATGAATAGTAAAACGCCTGTAACTCGATTCGCCATGTATAACTATAATTGTTATTTAACTGCTAGTCCTCAGATTCTCCAAAGTTATTAGTGAAAGTAGTAATTGGTTGGTAGTTGAAAGAATTGTAGTAGTAGTTCATATATTTTACAGTATTAGCCCGGCTCTAGCTATAAAGTGACCCATTTTGTGGGCAATAGACACCTTAGCCACTGATAAATTGTTTATTTTGTGATTTTGTTCTCGTATAAAACGAAATTACAAATTTATTTGGTTACAGGACAGCAGCTTGCCATGTGCTGTATTTGTGTTCACTGCAATAAACCTTACCAACGAACCGAGGAACGTGAGCATTACTTTTACATGGACTGAAGTCCTTGGAGGTCATAACAAAAAGAAACAAATTGGTAAGATTAAGATCTTCTCTTCAATTCAATTCAATTAATTATAATTTAAAATTGAATTTTTATCAAATTTTGTATTTGTAGCCAAATTAGATATAGAGAGGTACTCCGAAGATCATACATGTGGAGTAACTCTGGAACAGAGGGTTATCGAAACTCCATGCACATTTACCATAGCAAAGAATAAGAGCGAAAATGAAACAATCCACGAGGGATATTGTCTGTGGAACGCGGCGAAAACGTCAAGTTACGTATGGGATTGCCTTAAGAAGCACGGGAAGTTGGCACCAGACCCCAGCCTTACTCCTCCACCACCTAAGGTTCCTGACAAGGATAAAAAGAAGGAGGAAAAGGAGAAGAATGATAAACAAAAGAAGCTTTACAAATGTAATTATCGACTTAACTCATAACTCTTAACATCCCAATTATCGTTACAATTTTTTAATGAAAAATAAATAAATATAAAATTACTATTTTCTAAAAGAAAACTATTGACAAACAGAGTAAAAACTGTTTAATCTTTACCGTTTTGGGATATTTAAATACACCAAGGTGGTCGTTATTACAATAGTAATACATACAATAATGCAATAACTAATTATCCGTATTTATATTATTATGGTACCATATCGTCTTTACACACGCCCACGTATACATGCTCGGTTACAAACCAGTTTTTATAACTTAATCTTTTCTTCTTTGTTACCAATGCCGTTACATTTGTGAAATCCAGTCCATTTGCTATTTAGTTGTGCGACAGGCGACTGTAAAAATAATATGCAAAAAAAATATGCAATATAATAACGTATTGTGAGTCAGTGTTGTCAAGTTATTACGCATATGTGCAAGTCTCTTGTTGATTTTCAACTTGCCGTTTCAACTGTATTATAATAATAATACTATTCCACTACTAATACTCCTAGCGTAATGTTACATAGCTTTTTAGCTTCCTTAATGAATACTCTATCCGAATCCATTAGGATTCTTACAGAAATTAGCACCCTTAAACAAATAAACAAACAATTCTTATTTTAATATATAAGCAGTTACTAGCCTTTCTTTCCAATTTCATCCACTTCTATGGTCATTGCTTTGCACCTTAGATTCGTAGGGTTATGTGTATCGCAACAATTCCTCAATAAATAATCCAACAGAAAAAATATAATTTGACTATAGTTGCAGAGGTTCGCGCGATTAAAACAAATAATAAAAAAGAAAAGCTCTGTAACTATTATGTCAGTATAAATAGGTATATTTTATTTATATTCATACTAGCTTTTGCCCGCGCCTCCGCCCGCGTGTATGTCGGTTATTGCGGTAAAAAGTAGCCAATGTTACTCGCTGATAATGTAGCTTTCCATTGGTGAAATAATTTTTGTGGTTTAGGCTGAAAGTGTAACAAACTCACTTTCACATTTATAATAAGTTTGAATGATTTTGTACTAATGTTATATTATGTACAAGTAATGTTATACTAAAAATATTCTGATGTTATTTGTGAAATAAATATAGAATTCATTACAAACTGCAAGGTTATTCAAAGGTCATTTGTTTTTAATTATTTTATTTTAATGCTTTGAATGTTTTTCAGGTGATTCGGTAGCTTTGTCGAGTGTTATATCTTTGGATCCCGGAGGAACAGGACACACAGAGTTTTGTCTTGTTTGGGATATGCCTGTTATTAAATATAAGAAAGATACTAAAATATATAAAAGGTAAGGGTATAATAACATTTTATTGCTTTGACATAATAGTGTTTTATTTAATTTGAGGCATTTGCAATAGACTGAAACCAAAAACCTTTATACCTTAATTGCAGTGATCTTGAGTTTTGTAAAAACTGTTAAATATAGTGATTGTTTTAAAAGTATGACTGTTTGTGATTGTAAATTATAGACTATTATTTAGTTGCCAAGATCCAAGTCTAGCACGGTACCGTCATATTGTACTACTCACTATGAATAAATGTTATACGTATATTTATCTGAATTTTTAAAACATTCCGGTTCATTTCCCCTCTTTAACAAAATGTCAAAAATTTAGCATTATTTGGAAAATTAACATTGATTAGAGTTTGTTTTTTTTTACAGGTTTTACACTAAGTTCTTTGGTAGTGATGGTATCGCCGGCGCCAGCATAGCTGCGTACGCCCTTAGGAATTATAAGAATTGGGAGAAACAACTCGCAGAGTGGCAGGATCCTATTTTGAATAATAGGCAAGTATTGAGTCATGTATTAACCTTTTAACCTTTCTCTATCTTAGGAAAAGTGGCAGTCGTGATATTTAATTCCTGAAGTGAGTAAAGCTCCATGAGATTCTCGAATAGATGCTGTCTGATTGGAAACTGTTATAAGTTTTTATAGGTTGTGCTAATTTTGACTCTAGGGGGCAATACTATAGACTCAAAATTAGTTGAAATATATTCCACAATAAATTATTATTTTTAATTTTTCAGCAATATACCAGACTGGTTAAAAAGTGCCTTAATGAATGAGCTTTATTTTGTTGCTGACGGCGGCACGCTATGGATAGACGTCCACGACGAATATCCGGAAACCGACCCTAGGTAATTATTTCATACGAGCTAATTACATTATCGACCCGCAGTTTCATATTCATTATAATGAAATGCTGGCCTTGCCGTAGTGTTATTAACTCGTTAATTTATTTTATAGGCATGACTTTGGACTGTTTGGGTACTTAGAAGGTCACGAATATAGGATGTACAACACGTATGATGTCCATTTTTACGCTTCTTTCGCCTTAGCACAATTGTGGCCTAATTTACAAGTAAGTATTTCTGACATAAGTAGATATGCGTTGATAATATGGTAGATGAAGCTAAATAGTGCATGATGTGAAAGAGACAGATGGATGAATGGCAGGGCGAATGATTTAAAGAACCACTTAAAAAAAAAAAAAAAAAAACAAAAAAAAAAAAAAAAAAAAAAAAAAAAAAAAAAAAAAAAAAAAAAAAAAAAAAAAAAAAAAAAAAAAAAAAAAAAAAAAAAAAAAAAAAAAAAAAAAAAAAAAAAAAAAAAAAAAAAAAAAAAAAAAAAAACATGAAAAAAAAAAAAAAAAAAAAAAAAAACATGGATTCTACTATCCCCATAATATGTATGATTAGTTTGTAATAAAATGTTATAAATTAACTATTTTATAGTGTGTAGACATATTTGTTGCATCGATATTATAGATATGATGTTTAAATAATCTTGAAATTTCTAGGTAGTACTACAATATATGTTTCGAGACACCATTGGATTGGAAACTGAAAAATGTAGGCAGTCGCTGTATGATGGGAAAAGTGTGAAGTTTAAGATTAAAGATAGTATACCCCACGACCTCGGTGATCCAGGTAAAATAATGTATAAATTAACGTTATATTTTTGCAAAAAGGATTATGATTTTAGTAT